AAATTCTTCAAGGGGCTCGCCTCGTGCGGCGCGTGGTCCTGCTTCGACGAGTTCAACCGAATCGATCTGGAGGTGTTGTCCGTGGTCGCGCAGCAGATCCTCTGCATCGTACAGGCGGTACGGGCCAAGCTGGAAACGTTCGTGTTCGAGGGTACCGAGCTAGCCTTGAATCCTTCCGTTTACGTGTGCATCACGATGAATCCCGGTTACGCGGGTCGCTCGGAGCTGCCCGATAATCTGAAGGTTCTGTTCAGAACGGTGGCGATGATGGTGCCCGATTACGCAATGATCGCCGAGATATTCCTCTACTCGTCGGGCTTTAGCACCGGCCGGGAGCTGTCCACAAAAATTGTCACCACTTACAAACTATGCTCCGAACAATTGTCGACCCAATCCCACTACGACTACGGGATGCGAGCGGTGAAGACGGTGTTGACCGCTGCACAGAACATCAAGCTAGAATATCCGGAGGAGGACGAGTCGTTGCTTCTACTGAGATCCGTAATCGACGTGAACCTGCCGAAATTCTTGGCCCACGACGTGCCTCTGTTCCAAGGCATCGTATCCGACTTGTTCCCCGGCCTGGAGCTACCCGCTCCTAGCTACGACGTTCTCTTACGAGCGGTGCGTGCGGTCGCGGAGAAACGAAACCTGCAACCGGTCGACGGATTCCTGTTGAAGATCATACAGACCTTCGAAATGATGATCGTACGACACGGGTTTATGCTTGTGGGTGATCCGTTCGGCGGCAAAACGTCCGTCTTGCACACCCTCGCTGACGCGTTGACGCTGATGGCCGAATGGGGGGATGATAACGGGGCACCTACCAAGTATTACACGATCAATCCGAAGTCCATCAGTCTCGGACAGCTGTACGGATTTTTCGACCCTGTCTCCTCGGAATGGACCGACGGCGTCTGCGCGGTAGCGTTCCGACGGTACTGCACCGAGGAGACGAACGACCGGAAATGGATCATCTTCGATGGGCCCGTCGACGCGATGTGGATCGAGAATCTGAACACCGTGCTCGACGACAACAAAAAGCTCTGCCTGACGTCCGGCGAGATCATGCAAATGTCCAGCTCGATGTCGATGATATTCGAGGCGATGGACCTAGCGCACGCTTCTCCCGCGACGGTGTCCCGTTGCGGTATGATCTACGTGGAACCGCGAGTCCTCGGCTGGCGACCGTTCGTACGGTCCTGGCTGAACGATCTGAATCCAGAATGGAAGGAGGGATACGAGCAGGAAATCGAGGAGCTCTTCGAATGGCTGATGGATCCGTGCTTGGAATTTATTCGGAAGCAGTGTCGCGCGACGATCAGCGCCGGTCAGATACATCGGGTCGTTACGACTACGGTTTTATTCGAGATGTTCATGGAGGACGCGGTCGATCAGAATCGGAAAACGTTCGACCAGTTCACAGTGTCCTGGCTGCAGGCGACGATGATGCTATCGATGGTCTGGGGCGCCGGTGGGACCCTCGACTACGATTCCCGAGTGAAATTCAACGCCTATTATCTGAGCATTTGGAAGAACGAGCAACCGGAGCATCCGCCGCCGGAATTCCTAGCGGAGAGCTTGATCTCCCTGCCGGTTGACGAGCCGATTCACGATTGCTTCTACACGTATCGGGGACGGGGCGCGTGGAGACGATACGCGGACGTCGCTAGACAGGAGGAATTCTCCGAGACGGGGAGCATCGTTCAGCTAACAATTCCCACCATCGACACGGTTAAATATCAGACTCTGTTCGAGAAACACGTGCGACACCGTAGACGTTTTCTTTTATACGGGGAAACTGGCACCGGGAAGACAGTTTATATTAAGGATCTCCTGATGAACAAACTGTCCGAGGAGGAGTATCTGCCGAACTTCATCACGTTCACGCCTCACACAACGGCCGCGCAAACCCAAGAACTGGTCGTGTCGAAATTGTACAAAAGACGGAGGAATCAGTTCGGCCCGTTACCCGGGACACGGTGCGTCGTCTTCGTCGACGACGTGAACATGCCTGCGAAAGAGATCTACGGTTCGCAACCCCCGATCGAACTGCTACGACAGTTTTTCGATCACGAAACGTGGTTCGATTTAAAACGGCCGGAAACGATTCACGTCTACGACACGATGTTCGTCTGCGCGATGGCGCCACCTGGCGGCAGCCGACAGGAATTGTACCAGAGGTTCTTGAGGCACTTCAATCTGTTCACGATCAGCATCTTCGCCGAGGAGACGGTCGTTCGTATCTTCACGAATATCGCATTCGTCGGTCTGCAACGGAACGGTTTCACGACCGCCGTAATGTCGTCGATTCTGGAGATCGTGAACGCGACGATGAGCATGTTTCTGAACGCACGGAACGATCTCAGACCGACACCCGCCAAGTCCCATTACTTGTTCAATCTTCGCGATTTTTCGAGGGTGATCATCGGCTGTACGATGATCAGGGAGGAATCGGTCGAGTCGAAGACGGACTTCACGAAACTCTGGGTACACGAAATCTTGAGGGTGTTCGGTGATCGGTTGATCGACGAAACCGATCGGCACTGGCTGTTCTTGAAGCTCAAGGACATAGTGGGTATTAATCTGAAGGAACAGTTCGACACGGTGTTCGATTATTTGCCGAAATACGAGGATCGACTGACCGAGAAAAGTCTGCGTAGTCTTATATTCGGTAATTTTATGGACATCGACACGATACCGACCGATCGTCGATACGAGGAGGTGAAATCGGTGGACGAGTATTTAGACGTAGCCGTGTCTTGCCTCGAGGAGTACAATCTCACCCACAGGCACAAGATGGACATTGTCCTGTTCCGTTACGCGCTGGAACATCTCGCAAGAATTTGCCGTATACTCGTGATCCCCAGCGGTAGCCTGCTGATGGTCGGTGTAGGAGGATCAGGCAGGCAATCCCTGACGAGACTGGCTTCCAGTATGGTAGGTCACGGACTTTTCCAGCCGGAGATCGGTAGCACGTATGGTCTGCAGGAATGGAGGGACGACATAAAGAAGGTTCGAGTTGTTCCGTTCAGGATTACGTCCACCATGTCTCTTTATGATGCAGTTTTTGATTATCTATTGTGCTCAATAAATATATATATATATATCTCTCTCTCTCTATGTTTCTCTACTAGGTACTTATGAACACCGGCGGCGCGGGAAAAGACTGCGTGTTCCTGTTCACCGAGGGACAAATCAAAGAGGAGACTTTCCTGACGGATATCGACAGTTTGTTGAATTCCGGCGAGGTGCCGAATCTCTTCACCATCGAGGAAAGGCAGGAGATCATCGAGGCGACACGATTGGCCGCGCAGGGCGGGAACCGGAACTTGGACATATCGGTACTCGCGGTCCTCGGTTTCTTCGTGAATCGTTGCAAGGAGAAGCTCCACGTGTTGCTGTGCTTCAGCCCGATCGGGGACACATTCCGAATCCGACTGCGTCTTTATCCGAGCCTCGTGAACTGTTGCACCATCGACTGGTTCGACGTGTGGCCGGAGGACGCCCTCGAGCAAGTAGCTCTGCGAAGCACCACCGACATCAACGTCGACGAGCAGGTGAAAACGAACGCCGTGGTCGCCTGTAAATACTTCCACATATGCGCGAAAGACGTGAGCGTTCGTTTCTACAAAACCACCGCCAGACGAACTTACATCACGACGGCTGGTTTCCTGGATCTTATTCGGACCTATGCCCAGCTCATGGAAGAGAAACAACGCGATCTAACGCTTGCCAGGTGGTTATATAGGCAAAGACGAAATATAAGAATAGACCTAACATGCAATGTAATTTTTTGCCCCATTGTTCGAGAGCGTCAGAAGCCCCCGTACCATTTCAATATTCTATTCCCTGCTAGGGAAACCGGTGTCGAACATAGTTCCTGAAATCGGAAACTTTTATGTAGAGGTGCGTTCGAACCAGCGTGATTTTCGTGGGACACCAAGTCCCATAAGATGTTACGTCTATTCTGTAATCTCGTTTGTGACGAATTCGATGAAATGTCTACTCCTATAACTCGCCTGCTCTACGAAGAATCGAATACGTTCACCACGTCCTATTTCGATCTGTGATTTTCGTGGGACACCAAGTCCCATAAGATGTTACGTCTATTCTGTAATCTCGTTTGTGACCATACATTCGATGAAATGTCTACTCCTATACCTCGCCTGCTCTACGAAGAATCGAATACGTTCACCACGTCCTATTTCGATTTTAGATCGTTAACCTACCCACCGATGTAATCCATTTCGTTATCCACGCGACAGAGACCGATACTTGAACGGATTGGACAAGTTGCAGTTCGCCGCCGACGAAATCGGAAAGATGAAGGTCACGCTGTCGAAGCTGCGGCCTCAGCTGGAAGCGTCCGCGAAAGAAATGGTCGCGACCATGAAGATCATCGAGACCGAGAACGTAAGCGTCGAGAAGGCCAGGATCATGGTGAAGATGGACGAGAACATGGCGAACGCGCAAGCGAAGATCGCGATGAGCTTGAAAACGGAATGCGAGGCGGATCTGGCGGAAGCGATGCCGGCACTGAACGAAGCGATCGGTATGGTATCCGGTTTCAAAACATTAGGTCTACCGGAAAGGTACGATAATGTCATCTCAAGCTTCAATAAGAACGTGTTCGTTTGAAATATACAGAGTGTACCAATTGAAATACCTTTTTCCTTAGCAGGAATGTTATCCGATGCTTTGTTAACGAGATATTAACGAGAAACCCCGATTCTAGTACTCGGAGGGTTAAACGATGGAAATTATATTGTTCAGTAAATATTAATAAATGTATCGATAATGTATTATTTTCTTTTAATTCTAAAACGGACATAACTTTCTGGTAGACCTAATACATGCGTACGTATATATCTACCCTCTGTAAAATCGCATCATTGTTGGCTCTTTTGTTCATGGTAGCGGCTCTAAACACCCTCAAACCGGCCGATATAACGGTCGTAAGAACGATGAGAAGCCCTCCCGCCGGAGTAAAGCTCGTGATGGCTGCGGTTTGCGTCATGCTGGATATACCGCCAGCAAGAATCGAGGATCCAGCCACTGGGAAGAAAGTAATAGATTATTGGGGTCCCAGCAAACGATTGTTGGGCGACATAAGATTCTTGGAAAATCTGCGACAATACGACAAGGATAATATTCCGGCACGCATAATGCAGGTACATATGTTCACCGACGAGCAAACTCGGCTTCCGTTAGGAGAAATAGTAGATTTAAAACAAGTACTGAAATAAATATTAAACTGAATGTTAATTTGAATTTGATATAAATTTCGGTACCGTCCGAAACCAAATGATAAGAGGCCCTTTCCCCTACGCCACATTTTTCCCCCAGCGGAGAGCCGAGTTTACTCGTGAGGTTACTGCACCGTACTTGCATCGATATTAAAAACCAAGATGCGACTAGACTGGACAAGAAAATTATTTGAATCGTCGTGGTGTGAAGGTTGTTGACTCGTCTTCAGGAAATTAAAACGAAATACCTGACGGACAAAAACTTCGAGCCGAAAGTCGTGGCGAGAGCATCGTCCGCGGCGGAGGGCCTCTGCAAATGGGTGAGAGCGATGGTCTTGTACGACGAAGTCGCGAAAGTGGTAGCACCGAAGAAGGCCAAGTTGGACAGCGCGCAGCATGATTACGAGCAGACCGTTGCGTTTTTAAAGGAGAGAAGGGAAATGCTCGCTGAACTAACGGAAAAGTTGGCGGTGCTAAACGAAAAATTGGAAGTGACCCTGGCGAAGAAAATCGAACTGCAAACCGAGGTAATCTAGCATGACTGCTGTTCATACGAATTAAATGTTAGTCAATTAAACGGATCGTACAATAAAATTATTTGCTGGTTCACAGGTGACCAATTGCCGAAACAAGCTGATCCGAGCTGAGAAACTGATCAGTGGATTGGGCGGGGAGAAGCATCGTTGGATGACAGCTGCAGCGAACCTGCAGAAATCCTACGACACGTTGCCTGGCGACATTTTAATTTCCTGCGGCATGATTGCGTACATGGGACCGTTCACAACGATCTATCGCATCGAGAGCTTGGATAAGTGGTTCGTGTACGTGAAAACCTTGGAAATACCGTGCACCGATCTGTACGATTTCGTCGAGACCCTGGGATCCGAGATAAAGATCAATTCTTGGAATATTTTCGGGCTGCCGCGGGACTCGTTCTCCACCGAGAACGCCATCATTATGGACAACTCGAAGAGGTGGAGTTTGTTCGTGGATCCTCAGAGTCAGGCGAACAAATGGATTCGTAACATGGAGAAGCAGAGCGAGCTCGAAATTGTAAAACTGACGGATTCGGACTATATGGGTATAATCGAGAGGGCTATGGAGTATGGTAAATATTGTGTGTGTAGATTGTTGTGTACGTGACGACCACGAACACGTTCCGAAACAGATACAAATACCGACCATAAATGGCCGGACACAGTACATACATATATTGTCGATATTATACCCGTCTGGATAGATCTGGACGGTGGTGTAAACATTAAAGTTTTCTGCTCAGCAAAATATTCCCTAACAGTGACATGTTTTCATTCAGGAAAACCTGTGCTCGTTGAGAATGTCCTCGAAGAACTTCCGCCGGCCCTCGACCCTATACTGATGAAGTCCATTTACAAAATGGGCGGTTTGTGGTTCATAACGCTCGGCGAGAAAGTGATCGAGTACAGTTTACGGTTCAGGCTGTACATCACGACGAAACTACGCAATCCACATTACCTACCGGAAGTATTCAACAAGGTAACGTTGATCAATTTCGCGCTGACGATGGATGGCCTGGAGGATCAGCTGTTGGGTATCGTGGTGGCGAAGGAGCGGCCAGACTTGCAAGAAAAACGAGAATACCTGATCGTGCAGAGCGCAGCGAACAGAAAAGCTTTGCAGCAAGTCGAGGACAACATTCTGAGAACGTTGGCCGATTCCGGCGCAAGCATTCTAGAGGACGAGGACGCCATCGAGATTCTAGACTCGTCCAAAATACTCTCGATCGATATACTGAAGAAGCAGTCCTCGGCGAAAAAAACGGAGATACAAATCGAAGGATTTCGACAAAGTTACAAGCCGATCGCTAGACACAGTTCTGCGCTGTACTACACAATCACCGATCTGCCCAATATCGATCCGATGTATCAGTACTCGTTATCGTGGTTTATCAATTTGTACATTAATTCCATCGACACCGCGCATAAGAGTAAGATCCTCGAGCGACGACTCATGTTTCTCCGAGAAACATTCACGTACAATTTGTATCGAAACGTCTGCAGATCTCTGTTCGAAAAAGATAAGGTAAATTCATGTAATTGTATAGTAATAATAATAATAACCTTGATAAGGAGAAGAAGAAGAAGAAAAGGAAGAAGAAGCGTAATAATGATACTTCCAATTAGGTGTTGTACTCGTTCGTGTTGTACACGACGATCTTACTAACGGAAAACGCGATCACGAGAGACGAACTTATGTTCTTTTTATCGGGAGGTACTACGTTGGCCGCGATCTCGGACAATCCTATGGCCGATTGGCTGCCGGACAAATCTTGGGCTGAGATTTCCAGGGTGCAGACCTTGCCGAGCTTCGCCGACTTTCAGACGAGTTTCGTTCGTAATTGGAAAGAATGGAAACGCCACTACGATTTAACGAATCCGGAGAACTCGCCGATACCAGATCCCTGGGAGAAAAGTTTGACACCGTTCCAAAAGCTGATCGTCGTGAGAATGATCAGAACCGATAAAGTCACGATCATGGTAAGGGGCAGAGTTGGGCAAAATGTAAGCTAATTAGAAAATCCGAATCACTGTTACAATTACACTTGTAATTAACTGTACTAAATTTCCCCGCAATTATGTTGCAATTACATTGTAATTGTAATTCAGATTTTGTAATTATTAATTATGTATATTAGTTGTTTTGTAATTTCTAATTATCGTATGACTCCTTTCAGATACAACGATTCGTCCAAAACGGTATGGGATTGAAGTTCATCGTGCCTCCGCCGTTCGATATCTCCAAGTCTTTCGGGGATTCGAATTTCCTGATACCGTTGATATTCATTCTCTCTCCGGGCTCCGATCCGATGGAGGCACTCACCAAATTCGCGGAGAGCACGAACTTCATGGAGAGATTTCATTCGATCTCGTTGGGACAAGGCCAAGGACCGATCGCTCGGAAGCTTATCGAGCAAGGACAGGCCGACGGTGAATGGATATGCTTACAGAACTGTCATTTGGCTGCTTCCTGGATGCCCACCTTGGAGAACATCTGCGAGAACTTTGATCCTTCGAACACGCACTCCAATTTCCGCCTTTGGCTGACCAGTTACCCGTCCGAGCACTTTCCCATCACGATTCTCCAAAACGGTGTCAAGATGACCAACGAGCCTCCGACCGGATTGCAGAATAATATCATGAGGCAACACGAATATACCTACCCAGATAGCACGTGACGCCTTGAAGACGTCTATTTTACGACTATTTTAAGTCTAAGGCGCCTTTACTAAAGGCCTTCAATAATCGGGAATATTTTGGTTGCCTACACAAGGGTTAAGTCGTCTTCAAAGCATCATTAGGCATCGTGTGCTATTTGGGTACATAATTATCCTGGTGCTAACGTATACATAAATACGTTGTTGTTGTTGTTGTCGTTAATACAGGGTTTCGAACTTTTAGATCATACAAATCCGAGGCGACCAAAGACCCAGAATTCTTCGACAAGGCCCCGAAGAAAAAGCGAGCGTTCTCGAAACTGCTCTACGCTTTGTGCTTTTTTCACGCAGTGGTGCAGGAAAGACGAAATTACGGGGCACAGGGTTGGAACATAAAATACGGTTCGTTGAATCGTTCGTGATTCTATTTTTTATCTTCTCGTTATCTTCCTCAGCGACATGGGCACAGGAAAGATGACGGGAACGGTTCTATCACTGCTAGTGAAGCGATCGATACCAATACTATTGATGATATTCAATCGGTAATTTACCGATTACAGGTTTCAACGAGTCCGATCTTCAGATATCCGCCCAACAACTCCAATTGTACGTGCACGACTATACGGAGATTCCGTTCAAAGCGATCGTATATCTGACAGGGGAGTGCAATTACGGTGGCAGAGTCACGGACGATCGCGATCGAAGATGTCTGAACACGATATTACAGGACTTTTACAACGAGACCGTGATCACGGATCCGAATTATTCTTTCGCCGATATTGGTCCCGAATACGCTCTACCGAAAAAGTACCGACGTTTGTCCCTTTTCTTCTTTCTATCAACATAGGATAGGTCCACTTATTTCCCCCCCACGCACAACAGACACGAATACGACGATTACATCAAACTGATCCAAGGAATTCCTTTGAATCCGCCACCGGAAGCACTCGGTCTGCACATGAATGCAGGGATAACGCGAGATCTCGAACTGGCGAACAATTTCTTCGAATCGATGCTGTTGGTTCAAGGAACGGGGTCGGCGGGCGACACCTCCGAGCAGGATGAGATATTGCTCAGTATGAAAAAGGATATATACGATAGGATGCCAAATTTATTTGACATCGAGGAAGCCCAAAAACGATACCCGGTCGTGTACGTCGAATCCATGAACACGGTGCTGATACAAGAATTAGAAAGGAATAATACACTTCTGCGGGAAATACGACAATCTCTCTCTACACTCGAGAATGCGGTGAAGGGACTGGTAGTAATGACGCCAGACCTCGAGGTACCGTAATTTAATTTCATTTAATTTAATACCATCAACGGGAAAGCCCATTTTATACAAAAGTTTAAGAAAAACATCGCTATGACACTAGTAGTTTTAAGTATACATGTAATACACGTCGACCGTAATAACACGCAATGACAACCGTAATCATGTACCATTTATAGTAGATATACACGATATGCAATTACAGATTCTGGCCATTCACATACTGAGCGCAAGGATTCCACCTTCTTGGAGAAAATCCTGTGCCTATCCAAGTTTGAAACCGTTAGCAGGTTTCGTCAATGACTTTCTCGATCGATTGGAGTTCTTTCAAAAATGGTTGCTGCACGGAATACCGAGAACATTCTGGATATCCGGTTTCTCGTTTGTGCACGCTTTCCTCACCGCGAGCACGCAAAACTTTGCCAGAAAATACAAGATACCAATCGATAAAATCGATTTCGACTTCGAGGTTCCCCTTTAAATATATATACATTTTAAAGAACACCTCATACGCCACAAAGAGGGAGGCTCTGACGTACAAATTTTCCCGCGATTCCACAGGTACTTCCCGCGTATGAATTGAACAAGTCCCCGATGGATGGTGTTTACGTTTACGGGATGTTCCTGGCCGGCGCCAGATGGGACATAAAGGGAATGTTGCTCGAAGAAAGTTATCCGAAAATCTTGTGGGATCTTATGCCGATCGTTTGGATGAAACCCAGTCACGTGGATAAGATTAATACAGGTCGACGATACCTATGTCCCCTTTACATCACTTCCGCCCGTTTTGGCATACTAAAGACAACCGGGCACTCCACGAATTACGTGTTGTCCCTTCTTTTGGACACCAAATATCCCGTTAGTCATTGGATCAAAAGAGGGCTCGCTTTACTTTGTCAATTAGACGATTAATAACCTGCAACTACTTTCAAATAAATCGATTGCTGTCAATCAATCATAACACAGACAATGTTTCCTTCGACTTGCAAAAGCGCGCCGTATCAAGGGTGCCATACTCTCAGAAAGAGATACAGCGACATACAGAAGCTTACCTCTGTAAAGTTAGCCGGAAAACTTTAACTTTTTAACGTTTCATTATACCCAATCGATTGGTGGTGATTGGTGACCTAATTGAAACATTTGGTGGTCAGTAATTACAGCAGAATATGTTCTAATTAGGCCACCAATCGATTGATTATAATGAAACGTTAAAAAGTCATAATTGCCCGGCTAACTTCACAGAGGTCAGAAGCTTGTGTAAGAAAGAGGAATATATGTTTAGGTTATGTCGATCTTCATACCTTGTATCTGTGCTGTTATCGACTATTATGGCGCCATGTCAACTGCTTTGAAATTTTCGGAGCAAAACATTTTTTCTTAACTTAAGACACATTTTATTGAAAGGCATACAACATAAGAAAGAAACGATCGTAGTTTCGCGTATCATTTTATGGTTTCGTAAATATGAAAAATACCACTTTTGTTATCGATAATGGTGCGAACACCGCGAAAGTTGGGTTAGCCTCTGACAACCCAAAGTAAGTTGCTACAGTGAACGAACAAATAATTAATTTAAAAGAATTAACGTGACCACTTACGTTTCCATTTTCTAGATTATTGCGTCTGGACTTTTCTATATATTACCGTTTCAGAAAGGATATCTCGTCAACTGGGATGTCCAGAAAACTGTATGGGACTATATATTCTCAAAGGAATGCTGTCCTCTAAATTTGAGTCATCTGTCTGTGATCATGACCGAACCTATGTACAATTTCTCTACTGTTCAAGAAGCTATGACAGAGATATTTTTTGAGGAATACGAGTGCCAGAGTTTGCTCAGAATTAATGCTGCTACTTTATCCTGTTACCAATATAAGACAGAGAATCCTAATACAAAGTGCTGTATAGTAGTGGATAGTGGATATAGTTTTACCCACATAATACCCTACATAAATGACACCAAAGTTAAAGAAGGTATTAGACGCATAGATGTAGGTGGAAAGCTTCTTACAAATCACCTGAAGGAAATAATATCTTACCGTCAATTACACGTTATGGATGAAACTTTTGTGATAAATCAGGTAAAGGAGGACTCTTGTTTTGTATCTCAAGACTTTTTCAAAGATATGGAAATTGCGAAAAGCAAATTGGAAAACAATCCTATAGTAAAGGATTATGTTTTACCAGATTATACAACATTGAAACGTGGTTTTCTGAAAAGTCCAGAGCCTCCTAATGAACAGCAAACTCTACGATTAAGTAACGAACGGTTCGCTATACCAGAGATATTGTTTCATCCTTCTGACGTTGGTATTCGGCAAATGGGTATACCAGAAGCAATTATGGATTGCTTGAAAGCATGCGACGAACAAACATGGCCCCATCTTCTGTCCAATATCATTCTTACAGGTGGAAATGCAAAGTTCCCAGGTTTTCAAGAAAGAACTTACAAAGAAGTTAGGAGCCTCGCTCCCGCCGAGTATACGATAAACGTTTATCTACCTGAAAAGTACATGTTCAGCTTTTTATAGCATCGCTAATAGTATCGATGAACACGTAATTTATCATTGTATTGTTTCAGCCCAATCACATATGCATGGTATGGCGGTAAAGCAGTATCAAAAGACCAAATATTTTCGAGTCTTCTAGTTACTAGGGAAGAATATGAGGAAGAAGGACACAATATTTGTTTTGAGAAATTCGACGTTTAATTATAATACATTTTTTAATTGATCAAATGGGATTTTTTTATTCCTTGCATTACGCGGGAATCATATTGCGCGCGTCTCGACATGTGCATATTGAGAAGTAAAATTTAAATATCTGTTTTAAAGTTACGTACAAATTAAAATATACCTGATAACAGTACATGAAATTTATGTGGATTACAAACATGTCCACTGTCTACAGCGACGCGAATTGCGATTGAATATTTTTTTAAATTGCAATAGATGCATTTCTAATTGATATCTCTACGTATGTATTTAACTTTGAAGATTATCGAAAAGACTTCTTTCGCCATCTCACAGCAAATTGTAAACCTAATCGGCTAACAGCTTGGACATTTTGTCGTAGATGGCGCAGTATGCCCATCATTATGCATATGGCGTATGCAAAATAATGATTAATGAAGAACTCCGCATCAAGATTCTGAACGGAATGTATCGATTCGGAGGAATTCAGCAAACAATCAGACACTAAACATTTAATGAATTGCCCAAACAATGATCGATTCAATATCAACATCATTGATCCTGAATTGTTTATTGTGATTTCATGCAATAAAAAAGTATAATTAATACCGGAAATGTGCAAAATGTAGCCATAGCGGAAGAGTGGCGGCGGTTTTACCTGGGTTTATGCACGACCGATAGAGAGTCAATGCATAATGCGTTCTGGAACCATCTGGAATTTGGAATTAATAATCGGAGTATGCTTTCTGTTATACGAGTTTCATAATACTATTGAAATAGTATTGCAGACAAAACGCATTTTAAGATTGATGTATTTTCGTAAAAAATTGTAAGACGCAAAAAGTAACAGTGTTTTTCTTTCACTAGGGTTTTTTGGAAACGTCGTATTTCCGGTAATACTTCTATCAGTGATAAACACTGGGGGCACAGCTGAATCTGGTGTTAGTGTTGGGTGCTCGATGGTGCTTGATGGTGCTCGAGCTGGCTCGACCGCGACCACAACCACGGATTTTTATGTTGTTCGATTCGGAGTAAATTTGATCGTGTCGGAGACGCATTTGTCGGGATCCAAATGGCTGATTTCTTAGACTCGGAAGCGGAGGAAAGCGAGGTATATAGATTGATTAATATCACGTGAAAAACTAAATGCATACGGTGTCTTTTCCAACGTCTCCTCGATCATCGGCAACTTATGTCATTGATCAATGTTTTCCGCCGTTATGTTTTAGGAGGAGGAGGAGTTGAACGAAAATGAAAAGAAAAAGCTGAAAAAGATAAAGGCCGTTGAGGAGAGCGAGGAGGAGGAAGAGGAGGGTAAGAATCGAAGTGATACATTTTAATTTTACGTCGTAATGAGTGAAGTATTTCTGCTTCAAAATGTCACAACTTCTGTTGCTTGATAATCGTTATTTACCCACAGACGATGAGGACCGTTTACGGGAGGAACTTAAAGATTTGATAGATGACAACCCTATCGAAGAGAGCGAAGGAGAGGACAGCGACGGTTCTGGGACTTCTAAAAAAAGGAAGAAGAGCGACGACGAAGATTTCGACGATCGCTTGGAGGACGAAGATTACGACCTAATCGAAGAAAATTTGGGAGTCAAAGTCGAGAGGGTACATACGACTTATTCTAGAGCTGTTACAAAGAAGAATAAATTGTACCGGTGTAGTGATGTTATTCTTTACTTTAGAAACGTTTCAAACGCCTCCGCAGGATACAAGATGAGGAATCGGAGGAGGAACAGGAGAAAGAGGTGGACGACGATAGGGATGCTATTGCAAATGAGCTATTCGAAGGCTCGGGAGATGTAAGCCCAACTTTCAATATGTATACATCTTGTAATACTTGATTTTATTGTTTTTTAGTTTTCATAAAACTTCCATTATTTTCTGTAACAAAAAAAACACGTAACTGTTGTGCTTGTTTTCATACTTCTATCAGGAAAGAGAAATTAGTATGGTATGTATGGTAGCCACCAAGAATAATCGGTGACGCGTTTCTAAATTGGTTGACCATCGTAAATTATTATTTGTTAGGAGGACGAGAGAAGAAGCGAACGAAGTCATAGACCTGAGGTAGAAACGTTCGACGAGGAAGGAAGCGAAGGGGAATACACCGACGCGGATGATTTTATCGTCGACGACGATGGCCGACCGATCGCTGAGAAACGTAAGAAGAAAAAGCCGATATTTTCGGACGCGGCGTTGCAGGAAGCTCAAGACATTTTTGGCGTCGACTTCGATTACGACGAATTCGGTAAATACGGGGAAGAGGACTACGAGGAGGAGGAGGAAGACGAGGAAGAAGAGGAGGACGAGTATATGGACGAAGAGGATGCTGAAAGACCGAGGAGACCGAAGAAACAATTGAAGAAGAAAACGACGAGGAAAAGCATCTTTGAAATTTACGAACCTAGCGAACTTAAGCGCGGTCACTTTACCGATATGGACAATGAAATCCGTAACACGGATATACCAGAGAGAATGCAACTTCGTTCGGTTCCCGTTACACCTGTCGCGGAGGGATCCGACGAATTGGATCTAGAAGCGGAATGGATCTACAAACAGGCATTCTCTCGACCGACTGTTTCTATTCAAGACGCACACTTAAATGCAGAGGCAAAAGAGAGAGCTCGGAAAGGGCCACAGACGATTGGAAAGATCAAGAAGGCATTGGACTTCATGCGAAATCAGCATTTCGAAGTTCCTTTTATATCGTTTTATCGTAAGGAATACGTTCTTCCGGAGTTGAACATCAACGATCTATGGAAAGTGTACAAATTCGACGCGAAATGGTGTCAGCTGCGGCAACGAAAAGAGAATTTACTGAAGTTGTTCGAAAAAATGCGCAATCATCAATTGGACGAGATCATGAAGAACCCGGACGCTCCTTTACCCGATACCGTGCGAGTGATCAAAGACGATGATATAGAACGGCTGAAAAACGTGCAAACCATCGAGGAACTGAACGACATTTACTATCATTTTATGTTGTACTACAGCCACGAAATTCCAGCGATGCAGGAGGCCGTGCGACGGAAAGAGAAGGAAGCACGGCGGGAGGCGAAGCTTCAAAAGCGAAAGCAGCAGATCGCGGACGCGGAGGAGAACGGCGAGGATCCACCGCCGGAAGATGAATCAGAGGTGGTGGAAGAAGAAGAGGAACACGATGACACACTCAAGCAAGCGATTCGAACCGGCCCGTATTCGATCTGCAGACGGGCCGGTCTCGATAGCTTGGCGAAAAAGTTCGGTCTCAGTCCCGAGCACTTTGCTGAAAATTTACGGGACAATTACCAGCGACACGAGGTGGACCAAGAGCCCACGGAACCGTTGACTATCGCGAACGAGTACTGCAGCCAGATACGCACACCGGAAGAGGTACTGAAAGCCGCTCAATTAATGGTAGCTATACAATTAGCACGTGAACCGTTGGTAAGGAAATGTGTAAGGGAAATGTACATGGAAAGAGCAAAGATATCCGTGAAACCCACGAAAAAGGGAACCAAGGAGATAGACGAGAGCCATCCCATTTATGGGATGAAGTATCTCAAGGACAAACCCGTGCGGGATCTCGTTGGCGATCAGTTTTTAAATTTGGCGATTGCCGAGGAGGATAAACTAATCACTATCACGTTGAGCGACACGATCGAGGGTAACACTAGCAGCAATTACGTGGACGAGATGAAGCAGCTCTATTACCGGGACGAGTTCAGCAAGAACGTTCAGGATTGGAACGCTTTAAGAGTCGGCAGCGTCGAGATGGCGCTCACGCGAATGGTTATACCGAGCCTGAAGAAAGAACTGAGAACGAACCTGATCGCGGAGGCTAAAGAATGCGTGATGAAGGCGTGCTGTCGTAAGATGTACAACTGGATTAAAGTAGCCCCGTACACGTGCGAATTCCCAGAGGAAGAGGACGAGGAGTGGGACACCAGCAAAGGACTCCGTGTAATGGGCTTGGCGTACGTTCCCGATTATTCGCAAGCTGCGTTCACTTGTCTCGTCGCGCCTGACGGAGAATGCACGGATTACTTGCGATTGCCGCATCTAATGAAACGGAAGAACAGTTACCGGGAGGAGGAGAAAACAATGAAGGAGGCCGATCTGTTGGCGTTAAGGAACTTTATAGCCAGTAAAAAGCCACACGTTATAGTGATCGGCGGTGAATCCAGGGAGGCGATGATGATCGCGGCCGACATTAAGGAATGCATCGCGACTCTGACGGAGGATGAGCAATTCCCAGCCGTTCAAGTGGAGATCTACGACAACGAACTGGCGAAAATATACTCGAACAGTAACAAAGGCGTGTCTGAATTTCGCGATTATCCAGATCTGTTGCGGCAAGCCATTTCATTGGCGAGACGAATACAAGACCCGTTGGTGGAGTTCTCGCAGCTCTGCACAGCGGACGAGGAAATCCTCTGCTTGAAGTATCACAGCCTGCAGGATCAATTGCCGAAGGAAGAGCTGCTCGAGAATCTCTACCTGGAGTTTGTCAATCGGGTGAACGAAGTCGGCGTCGACGTGAACAAGGCGGTCCAGCAGGCCTACTGCGGTAATTTGGTCCAATTCGTCTGCGGCCTGGGGCCGAGAAAAGGGCAGGCCTTGATAAAAATGCTGAAGCAAACGAACCAAAGGTTAGAGAACAGAACGCAGCTGGTAACAGCGTGTCACATGGGGCCGAAGGTGTTTATTAATTGCGCCGGTTTTATCAAGATAGATACGAACAGCTTAGGGGACAGCACCGAGGCTTACGTGGAGGTTCTCGACGGGTCGCGGGTGCATCCGGAGACGTACGAATGGGCGAGGAAAATGGCGGTTGACGCGCTGGAGTACGACGACGAGGACGCGAATCCAGCAGGCGCTCTTGAAGAGATTCTGGAGTCGCCCGAGAGATTGAAGGACTTGGATCTGGACGCGTTTGCGGAGGAGCTCGAGAGGCAGGGTTTCGGGAACAAATGCGTCACGTTGTACGACATTCGCGCCGAATTGAACTCCCGTTACAAAGATCTGCGTGTACCGTACCAGACGCCGAGCGCGGAACGATTGTTCGATATTCTAACCAAAGAAACCCCGGAAACGTTCTATGTCGGGAAACTGGCCCTGGCGACTGTGATCGGAATAAGTCACAGGAAACCGCAAGGAGATCAATTGGATCAAGCTAATCCCGTGAGAAACGACGAGACAGGTCTGTGGCAGTGCCCGTTTTGCCTGAAGAACGACTTTCCTGAACTGTCCGAAGTGTGGAATCATTTCGATGCCGGAGCCTGTCCAGGAAAAGCAACGGGTGTCAGATTGAGATTGGACAACGGAATATCTGGTTACATTCACATTAAAAACTTGTCCGATAGGCATGTCGCCAATCCAGAGGAACGAGTCAGCATAGGGCAGATCATTCATTGTCGGATCATAAAGATCGAAGTCGAACGATTCAGTGTCGAGTGCACGAGCAAGAGCAGCGATCTGGCAGACAAAAATCACGAATGGAGGTGCGTTTTTTGGTCGGCTAAGAATAGACTTTACAATTTCAAATTTTTTTAAATTTCAACGTACGCGCTCTAACAGGTGACAGCCGAATGGCTGTTTTTTATTTAACACTAGAACTGCCAAGCCCATTTCCGTGTCCTCCGACATGTTCGTTATACTCTGCATATGTTTGCATATTATTCCCTTTGATTTTTTGTACGCAGACCACAAAGGGATCCGTTCTACGACACCGAGGCAGAGCAAAAGGACATCAAAGTCGAAGAGGACGCGAAAAAGGCGAAGCAACGGCAAACATACGTGAAGCGAGTAATCGTTCATCCTTCCTTCCACAATATCAGTTTCGCGGAAGCCGAGAAATTGATGCAAACGATGAAACAAGGGGAGGCGATCGTCAGGCCAAGCAGCAAGGGCGCGGATCACTTGACAGTCACGTGGAAGGTGACCGATGAGATTTACCAGCACATCGACGTGAGGGAAGAGGGAAAGGAAAACACGTTTTCTCTGGGACAAAGCCTGTGGATCGGTAACGAGGAGTTCGAGGACTTGGACGAGATTATCGCGAGACACGTGAATCCGATGGCTGCGTACGCCTCGGAGTTGTTGGATTTCAAATACTATAAGCCAACTGTAGAAGGTATCAAAGATAAGGCGGAGGAGATACTGAAGGAACAGAAGAAAGAAAATCCTGGCGGTATACCGTACATAATATCCGCTGCGAAGGTCTGTATACAGTCGATCGGTTCTCCACACGTTTAACCCTCCGAGCTGTCCGTGTAATTCAGAAACTGATCGACGTATGACATTCTATGAAAAAGACGCCGCAGAATAATTGACTTACGTCTTCGGCTCACGCCATTTCCTGTTTTACTAGCTGCCCTGTTGTCTTCTAGTCGACAAAACTTCTACAGTGTCGGCATGGGCCTCGAGATCGAGCCACCAAGACTTTGTGTTAGTAACCTATCGATGTGAGTCAGAAATGTTACGGCTTCGTACGGCCCGCGAGTCCAGTACTCGGAGGGTTAACGCCTACGCACTGTACATATGTATGTATATAATTTCTTTTTCTTTTTTCTCTTTGAACGAAAGTTGACGGTGCATTTCAGAGTTACCCTGGAAAATTTCTCTTGTCTTACCTACCGCGAGCTCGGTGTCGCCACGAATACGTGACAGTGTCGCCGGAAGGATTCCGATTCAGGGGACAAATGTTCGGCAGGGTAAACGATCTGTTTCGGTGGTTCAAGGAACATTTCCGAGATCCAGTGCCGGGTCAATCCACTCCCAGCACACCACGCGGTGCAATGACCTCTAGAACGCCCTATCACACGACGCCAGGTGCAGTGACCGGTAAGCTTTTCCCAATATCATCGTCCCTTATTTCAGAGATTTGAGGCTTTCACGACCCGACATCGTACAGTTCTCACTGTTGAGGTAGTATCCTGTATCCCTATTGATGTCCCTATTGACACGGCTTACACCCGAAAGACTCAACAATGAGAACTGTATGTCCCTTATTTCATTGTTCACGTCACCATCTGAATGCTGTGTTTTCAGGAATGAATCAAGAAGCGATACAAAGAGTGGCGCAGAATCTTCCCCATCATATGTTGCACTCTCTGTCGCAAGTGGCGAACCAAACACCCCATCACTACCCGCCTCATACACCAGGAACCGCGAGCGTAGCCGGTTACGGCGGAGTCCACACTTATCCGAACACACCGTATACGCCTTCCGGGCAAACACCGTTCATGACACCATACCAAACGCCACATCACACTCCCCACCATGGTCAACCAACCCCCAGATATGGGCAACAAACCCCCAATCACCAACAAGGTCCCTTCATTCATCCCCCTCCCCCCTCGGTCGCCACGCCCGGTCATCACAGAAGCACTCCATCGCACAGACCTACGCCACCAATGTCGACCCCCGGCGATCCGATGGACTGGAAAAAAGCGGCGGAAGCTTGGGCAAGATTGAAAACTGGTCCCCGAATGTCGTAAGTGAATGATTAACTAAAAGCACAACTTGGATACAGGAAATCCTCAATGAGTGTTCGAAGGCTCCTCGGCACTGACAAGGAGAGATCCCCAGCTATAATGCTGAGTTTTTAATTAGGTTTAGCAGACTGAGCTTGGAATTCTGAAGCCAATGATATTTGTTTCAGCCGCATATGGCCATTAGTTTATGAAATATTTAATGTTCAGTGTTGCGAAGCTTTCAAACAATCATCGATTTACTGTAATCTCCGAAACATATTTCATTGCATAACGTGGTTCCTTTACCCCCTTCATCAGCGGCTCGACCCCAAGATACGAGGATTCGAGAAAAACTCCACGAAACTACGAGGAATCGGTCGGAAGAACGACTCCGCGTAACAGAAGTTCCGCTCGGACTCCATCTTATAAGTCTCCACGGGGAACACCGCATACGAATTCTAGTCCTCGAAGTATGTCTCTTAGCGGAGATGGTACTCCTCTGTACGACGAAAGCTAACTAAGATTATATCATTTTACGTGATATAAAGAAGCGAACGAACATGCAAATAAATATATAAATGAATCGAGTAATCGCGTCGCATTTGCATCGATAATATCCTTAGCAACGAGCATCAATCGTACTGTATAAAAAAGAAAAAAAAAAAAGACAGAGATGAAGAAATGTTGAAGCCATTTATAAAGTCATTGCAATCCATTAATATATCGGTATCTTCCAATCCGTTGCACGTTTATATAAGTATATATATATATATATATAGATATTTAGGTGAACGAAATTGAAGGCGCGTATTAAGATGGCGTACTTCGTATATACACGTATGTACATATATACATATAAAACGTCGTCGCATACTCGATTATATACCTCTTACTTGACATGTCCACAAATGTTATAAAACTTGCTACTTGTGAAACTTTTATTTTTCACTATACTATCGCATACTGACTTACGCTTTAGTATACACATAACACATTTTCTCTCAATTTTAACTACACCGATACTAAGTTATTGTACATTTCTTGTGTTACTGACTTAGGAATGGAATATATTTCTTACGTACTTTATACAGTTGTTAAATCACATTATTAAACAATAAAATAGTCTACATAAAATACTTGGCAATAACGTTAATGGTCCCCTCAGATAAAGCAACCATATGCAAGTACCATGCGAACTTTTTAAATGAGTGTTTTATCTATAAATGGCAACGAGATATAAAACATAGTATTACTTTAGTCATAAGTGTAAAACATGCACATACATGTATCATCCTGCGATATATTACTTTACTATACATGAGACTTTTCATCCTCCGACAATGTGTCATTGTTAAATTGAAAACTTTGATAGTATAAACATTCTCCATTGTTATATGTCTCGGTGGAAGATGGGTATTCATCCATCGACCTGAAGAAAAACAGAACTATGTTGACAATGTAAAATATTATGTGGACATTTAATGATTGGCAATGGCATACTTGAGAATTACATTTGTTTAGTCTGGATAGGCGACGTACTCGGTTTAATGCCTGACTTTATTATAGGATTGATTGGTTCTGACGTCATTTTCGTTTCTTTCTTTCCCGAATAAAGTTTGCGCTGCAAAGTTAATGCAATTATCTATTTTATAATTCGACAGAGTCTAATAACGAATCATTTACCGATTTTTCTGCATTGGCTTGTTCATTGTTGCACTTTTCTGTCGCGTCAACAGAATGACCTCTTTGTCTCTGTAAAATCAATTATAAAAGAAGTACAACTATCGAAGAAAGAATTGGTACAAGAGAAATAAAGAAAACGTTACTTTTTTCACGGGAGAGCATCTACTATCGCTAGAATCACTTGAATCTACCATTCTCGTAACCAATCTTCTCTTCTGTTTCCTTGGCCTACTTCTATCATGTCTTTCTTTTTCGACTACCTTTGCAACTACTGCGGATCCATTATTAGTTGCCTTCTCTGTAACACTCGCACTTGAATTCTAGAATGCGAAGTATAATACATTTCATAAAGTAGCGTTTATAATAAATTGAAGATCACATTAACTTGAATAATAGTGACAGGCATACCTTTGATTTTTCAAAACTGTTCTTACTAGTATTATCACGCGTGGGCATTACTGGAAGCTCTTGTAACGAACCTGGAGTGTATACTGGATTATTATCTTTCACAGTGATGCGTTCACCTGGCATAGAATGGACAATTTACCTGATTCGTTGATTGTATTTTCAAATGCAGTCTACTTAAATATCTCTTACCAGTCCAAAAATTTAGTGGGGGTACAATTCGCCTGCCTTTCGAACTTTTACCAATTTGTACAGAATCCATTGTATTGTCCAGTGCAGTGTTTCTTTTCACATTGCTTTGCAATAATTTCCATGATTTGCAAAATTCCTCTATTCTTCTAGGACATCCATAACGACATTGGCTCACCAACTCTTTCGGTACCACTGTATATGCAATAATAATTACTAATTACTTGAACTATTTATGAAAAATTTAAACGGAATATTAAATTTTCTAACCATGTTTAGTATCATTTAAGTCACCAACCAATTCGTAACGTTCATGATTTATTGTCTCGATTAGTTTTAATGATACTCGACACAATACTGCATCCGTTTTAAACGTTCTATTAACAACATGACCAACGTCGCTGCATATACAAACGTACATATATTAATGCATTATATATTGGGTTAAGTGTATAACGAATTAAAAAGACGTGAACACTTACTTCAGTAATTTTCCCTCGAAAATTAAACTCGGTTTTGAATCGCATATAACATTTGGTGTCCAATTGGCTAATAACTTGACTTTACAATTGCCGCTGTCCTTTCCATCTTTCAAATCACGTGCACGAATCTGGGCCGGGTTCCCTGATTTTTCATCTTCTATACTGTTCTCGATAAACGAAACTGAATCCATATTTCGAGGAGCGTGATGTTTTTTAAAACGGGAATTTTCCTTTACCGATTGTTGTATTTCGTCCTCTAGTTTCTTAACAGTGACACTTAGCTTCTTTAATTGGTTCACTTCTCCACAGACTGTATGTACATCAACGGGTACTGAACTAATTACAATAGGTTTTGAGATTTTGTCCATAGCATCTTTGGACTGATGAGACAGACGATCTTTAAGTCGTTTGCGCGACGCTTCGTTCTGATGATGATTTATATGATTTTCCTTTTCAAAACTTTTGTTTTGAAACAAATTTTCTGTCATTTCATTTTTATTCTGTTTAGTTCCATTAATATCACAGGAATTATATTCTTTTGCATTGAAAGGAACACACAAATTTTTGGCAAATTTATGGCCAGCTGTTGAATTTACTTGAACGAAATGTTCCTGCATTTCGCGATTTCTATCTTCTAAAAGGACGTTCGATTCCTCCTGTTGTCCTCTTAATACTTTATCCAACGGATTGATATTCTTACTACCATTATTTTCACCCTTTGCATTTATTACCTTTCGAACTTCTGGAACTTTTATTTTATCGTCTATAATAGTAACACTGGAATCATTGTGGTACATGGTATTAATATTTTCAGAGCTAACTGGTCGTACATTTGATGTCAGTTTCTTTTCCACATCATTCTTCCAATGCATAAGTTTCATTCTTGCTTTATACTTACAGTGCTTTGCCTGTCTTTCCTTTTTTTGTAGAAATATTCGTTTTGCTTGTATCTTCGGTATTCCAGCATAGATTTCACTCTCGCTGTCTGAAGTATTCTGATTTTTGCAGTTATCCACTTTGGTAGAAGCTTTTATCTGCAGTAACGAACCGTTACAAGCTATCGTTCCATTATCTGGGATTACATGTCCTGTTTTCGCAGGATATATCTGGTTGTGATGGATCGTAGTGTTTTTACTATTGTGTAAAGGACCTAATTCACCGTTTGCATTATTTTTTTCTTGCCTCATACTTTTGTTCTGTACAGATTCTGAAACTTCTGTATTGGATTCATCATTTTTAACCGATCCATGTAATACAATAGAACGCATACAGTCGAGCAATGACGCGAATGTATCGTAAAATTTCTGAGAACAGTTCTTATCCGATAATGAACCTACAATGACACTTAATTGGAGTGCCAATTTTTTCGCTTCATCCTCGTTATAAGAACAATTAGAAGCCACAGTTTCCAATTGCATACAGTGTTCTGTGTCATTATTTTGCTGGCTGGTTAATTCGATATCAGATGGATATGTTTGCGTGGACGAATTGCACATTCTATGATAAATTGGAGTACAATTTTGTTCATCTTCTTTTACTTGCATGACATTGCTAGGGATTATCTGAGATACATGTGAATCATTGAACGATTTCGACCATGGACTTTTACTTTCAGGACTTTCTGCACGCGAAAATGTGATGTCCGTTACTTCGCTCCTTAAACTATCATCACTGTCTGCAATAGCAGCAGGCCAACGAAACGACAATATGGATCCTTTTTCTACAAATGTTCTCCAAATTTGATAAACATTTTCCCAGTCATCAGGAAATCCGTTGTAAAATTTACCGCTAACATAGTCTGGTAGCTCTATGAAGTAATTACTTCTTAGTTTTAAGTATACAATTATAAACAGGTTCATAAAAATTTACATAACTGGAAAATATAATTAAATATATGTACCATGCTCGTCGTCAACAATATTCCCTTCCAATTGGTACATATGCTTACAGGTAGACTGAACCATGGTTGATGTCCATCTTCTTATAATAGGCTTGCTTCTAGCAAACTGTCCACTGAAACGTTAAAACGGAATTATAATAAAAATATACGCATAGCTATTAAGACTTACGTTTCTATTGTTCCTTTAATAATCAATTGACCCTGCTCATTTAATGTAACTTTCCAATCGCTGAAAATCCTAATTTTTCGATTTTGCTGTACGTTAACATCAGAACCAATTTGTAAGGAACCAAGGATAGTTCTTTTAGGAGATGTTTGATCAGTATCGAACACGGTACATTCACTCTGATGTACTGATGTACTCCCAGTGTTACTACATTTTGATATAACGTTCGATTTCTTAGAAGCATGAAGAACACGATTAAAATTAGGTGGTGGCATGATAAAATGATCTTCTTGTAAGCCATTTGTCTTATCAAATTTCTTTACACTAGATGTAGCAATATTTTTGCATTTTTTCTCCATATTCTTCGAATTCAAAACTATATTCCTCAAATTCTTGCTAGAAGCAACAACTTCGCTGTAAATGCAGGAGGATTGCAAAGATGGAACATTACTACTGGAATCAAATCCATCCACATTGATGCTCGAAATACTAGGAGACATAGGTAAATGCCACAATTCATCGCCTTCTTGTCTATTTCCTTTCTTAAGAGAACCAAGCTTTAATGATCGCTCCAATCTCTTGTATCGTTCCTCGGTTTGTAGATCGGAGAATTTCACCTGTACAAATGTAAATGTCATACTGAATGATCGCAAAATAATGCAATACTAAATGTAAACGATTACCTCTGTTATATGTGCCATTTGAAAACTCTGATGCTAATCATTTACATGAATTCAATAGTAATTATACATAATTAACACCTTTTGTATCAGCGACAATTTACTTATGTTGTACAGTTAGTTCCTTGCGTCAAACTTTGACAAATTATTTCAGGAAATCCCATGTATTTGTCACATAACCCCTAAGAGAACAAATGTTTCTTTTTACTGTGTTAGTACCATGGATATATTTACAAACATCATGAAATGCAAATACATACAAACAAAAATATTCTTCGCATTTTAAAACAATGAATTATTTTACCTTAATTTCTGAATTTCATTTCACGTGTACACTGCATAATATTCGCGGGCAATTTCGATACACTTCACTAACTAAACATTTAGAAATTTAAATGTGTAACCGTCATGTTGTCCTTACAGTGGTTCTCAATGTCCACCTAGAATCTATTTAGATTCTTAATACGTAGATTATATACTAGAGATGGCGTGCAAAATCACTAACGGTGATTTATCACAGTGATCGCCGAATCACGATCACGATCGTGATTTAACTTCATTCACGACCGTGATTGCGATTTTTTTATCTTTAAACAGAAAAACGTATTCAACATGATTTTACGATGAATTACATTACTGTGTTTGTGAATGATTTGCTAGGTAACATGTAGATTATAATTTATAATCATTAATTTATTCATTATTCTTCATTGTTACTAATTATTCTTTCACTTTATACGATATAACTCGAATTTTTGTTTTGATGTCGTTAATATAAAATATAAAATATACAGATTATGTGTCGCGTGTAAAGAACTGTTAGGTTTCTCCACCAATCAGAAACGATCACGAGAAATCACGAATCACTGTGAAAAATTACCGTGATTGAGAACGAACGTGATCGAATCACGAGTGATTCACAAGTAGCAGTTCACATCATTTCTAATGAGAACGTGAGGTCACGGAGCCCCCGGTGGAGGCGCCATAGCCCCTGCACGGTGAGAGCGTGGGGTCACGGAGGCCCCGGTGGAGGCGCCATTGATCACGTGGGGTGAGAGGGTGGGGTCACGGAGCCCCCGGTGAAGGCGCTACAGACCCTACACGGCGGTCCCGGTGGAGGCGCCATTGATCACGTGGGGTGAGAGCGTGGGGTCGCGGAGCCCCCGGTGGAGGCGCCACTGATCACGTGGGGTGAGAATGTGGGGTCACGGAGCCCCCGAAGCATGCTGAAGAGACCCCGTGTGTGTGTGAGATGTATGATGTACAATTAGAATTTCAACGATTTATAAATATAAGTACACACGGCTGAACTCAACGATAAATTTATTAATAAAATTATTTACAAAACTTAGGATCGATAAATTAAACATCAAAACTGAACATCTGAAACAATCAATAAATTATTAACAAACTTCAATATTCAAAATTAACGCGCAAAACTACTATCAAGTCCCGACATACATATTTATTTATCGTGTATATATTATATGACGGATATTGTTTGGAATTTATACATATGTTTATGTTTATATATTTTAAATTTTATATTAAATATTTAAATAAATAGATAAAGTATAGCATTGTATTTTATTGTCTCTCAACGCAGAAACAACTTGGGCCGGTCGACGCTCGATGCGATCGACCACGTCCGTGCCCTCGTGGACCTGGCGGTCTGCCGGGGTGGGGGGTGGCGTTGGCTGTAAGCTTGGATATAGGCAACGCGTTCAACACCCTCCGCTGGAACGCGATACGCGGGGCGCTCCGGGAGTACGGAGTGCCCCCGTATCTGCGGGCCGTTGTCCGGGACTACCTCGCGGACCGGGAGATACAGTACCCCGCCCAAGGGGGAAGGCTGGTGCGCAGGAGGGCGAGCCGGGGCGTGCCCCAGGGATCCGTTTTAGGACCATTCCTATGGAACCTGGGGTATGACTCGGCGTTGCGC